CTGTTAGTTGTTTGGATAGAATTCTGTTTACCCACAGACCAATCAGTTTTGGCACCTGCAGAGATCATAGGAAGAGTCTCTGAGAATAGGGAAAGAGCACCGGAGCACCCTCACAGCACCTGGATAGGACTTCCTGCCAGCTTTCCCATCACCAAGGGCTGTCTTTGGCACAATGGTCCAAATGTTGCTTCCTTCCAATCACACTGACTGAGTTCAGGGCAAGCTACTTGTTTACACCCAACGATCAGGGAGCTACAGTTGATGACCTGGAAGAAAACAAATACAGTGTCAGGATTATGCAGGCAAGAATCGGAAATAACAAAAATCCCATGGTATAACACAGAACCGTTGGTGAGCTCTTGACAGGTTGGTGTTTGGGGCTGTGTTGAGGCAGTGAGAAATATTCTTCAGTAAGCAGTGTATAGCAAGAGGCATGGCAGTGCAGATCGTGTCTTGAGGAGCGCTTCTGCTCCCTGCCTTGCCCCATGAAAGGGAGCTGTGTTCCAGATGAGAACATGGGTATCCATCCTCAACAACAGAACATCTGGGAGACAGCAGGTGAATGTATAATATTTTGCAAAAATAATTTCCTCTGCAGTGCCACAGAATACATTCTGTCTTTTTTTTTTTCAAAGCAAATTAGATGTTGCAAATTAGGAGCAGAAAATTGTGAGGAATGCCGAGTTTTTTTGCATTGAGTAGATTTTAATGAAGAATTACCTCTCTGCTTTGTTATGATGAAATCTGCCAGCAGTAAAAGGAAGTTCTACTTGGATGGTCTTTTAAAATGGTCAGGGGTCAGGGCATGGAGGAGAAGCTGAGAAGAAAATAGATGTGCTTAGCACACACACGTGTGTGTGTGTGTGTGTTACACGTGCCCATGTATACCTCTGTGTGCCCATGTGTACATCCAACTAGTTCTTCAACAGTGGCATCTTTTCAGAGCATCTTTGGGTGTCATGAGAGACTGGGTGCTGGTTATCAATTCTTCATAACTTGGAAGCAGGCCCACAGTCCTGTGTTTGGGGAGACTGGGCCTCTGGAAGTAGATCTCTGTTCTGAGTGGTTATGAGACAGGGTTGAAGAGAAGCTTAAGATCTGAGCTGCTGCAGATTTGTCCTCCTTTTCCTCCCCAAACAATTTACTCTTCAACTCATTCAAGAATACCTATAAGAATACCTATATGAGCTGGCATGGTGGTATACACTTGTGATCCCAGCTGCTACTTGAGTGCCTGAAGCAGGAGGATGGTGAGTTTGAGGCTAGCCTGGGCCATGTAAAGAGACCTCCATTTCTAAAAAAAAATAAATTTAATCCAGGCACAGTGGCTCACAACAGTAATCCTAGCTACTCAGGATCACAGTTCAAGACCAGCCCAGGCAAAAAGTTATTGAGACCCTCATCTAAACCAATGAAAGCTGGACACAGTGCCACATGCCTGCCACCCCGGCTATGTGCCAGAAGTATAAATAGAAGGGTCACAGTCTAGGTCACCCTGTCTCAAAAATAACTAAAGCAAAAGGGCTGGGGGGGTGCCACCTCAAGTGGGAGAGCATCAGCCTAGCAAGCACAAGACCCTGAGTTCAAAACCTAGTACTGCCAAAAGTAAATAAATAAGTAAAGAAATTTATAAAAATATGTATATAGGCTAGGCACTATTCCATTTATGGATCTAATCCTGTGGTCTCTTCCCTCAAGCAGATTTTCCCACATGGCAGACCATGTTCTCTCTTGCCACTGCCTCTCCAAAAAAACTCAGTGGCTTAGAACAACAGTCATTTATTTGTCTCTAGTTCTTTGGGTGAGCAGTTAGGCCAAGGGCAGCTGGACTCTTCTGATCTAGATGGACTCACACAAGTGAACATGGTCAGCTTCCAGGTCACATGGAGCTGATTGGTGTAAGATGGCCTCATTTGAGACATTCACCTTCGTCCCATGTGCTCTCTTATCCTTAGCATCCTGGACTCATTCATACAGCAGCTAGCAAGGCTCCAACGGGTAGAGTGGAGGCCTCAACACCTCCTTTGCATGCTGTAGTTCTAACAAGTCTAGATTACAGCTAGATTACAGAGATGGATAAATGAGTTGCAAAGTCACATGAGAAAGTACTTGATAAAAGAAGAATGGAGAATGGTGGCCATTTTTGCAAACCTTCTACCACGGCCAATCAGTAAACACATGTACAAATAAACAATCCAACCACCCAAATCCCGAGGTTTTAGATTTAACCTAGGTCCTACCTAAGTCTACAGCTGGATTCAGAATGACTTGTCTATATTTTTTGTGTAAATTTTAGGGGAAAGTTTTGTCATAGTGGCTGTTGTTTCACTTTATTGTGTTTTTTAAAATATGACCTTCGACGCAAAACCTAGTACTCATTCAGCATGATGGGTGAGCATCTGTGTACCACAAAAGCTTAGAAATTCAACTCTATAGGTTGGAAGACATGAGCTGCTGTCCCCTGGGCTCTATGAGGGCAGGCGAGTTCGCCGTGTGCACCAGTGATCTCAGTCGCTAGCACAGGGCTGAATACATGGTTGGTGCACAGTGAGGTGCGTTGAGTGATGCAGTAAGTCAACGAGGACTTGGAATGCTGACATAAGAGGAAATGTGCAGATGGGCAGCCCTGGGGCTGTGCTTGAATCCTACAATGCTAACTGGATGTCCAGCTATCTGATACAGTGTTTGTCTGGGGACGTGTGAATAGGACACCACAGAGTGGGAGGTCCCTGGAAATAATGACTAGGTTATCCTTTCCTAAGCATAAAACATACATGAATTTGACATTTATCAGCAATATTTGCTCTTCATCTGCTATTTTTCCATTTTTGCCTGAGGACTCAAATGAAGTGAATGGGCTTAAATTTTATGAGAAAGGATTAAACATTTTATTTATAACTGTACAGTCCCTTAAATAAGCAAGAGATGGAGTCTTATTCTCTGAGGGTCTTTAGAAATAAGCCAGATACACACAAATCTAGTTTCAGGGCCCAGAAGTGTACCACAGGACACCACAGCATCCCTTTCAGACCTTGGCATTTTGTTCTTTTGAAGTTGCAACATTAAGTGGGGGAAGCTTCTGCTTTAATATTTAAGTGTGCCTTTCAGTAGGACTTGACTTTCCAAGTCACTGAGAGAGGGGAAAGTCCAGCATCTGGAGCCCTCTTGACCGTCATGATTCTGTTGCATCAAGCTGCCCTTCCCTTCTGACCTCCCACCTGTGGGGCCTCTGCTCACCCTTACTCATTTGGATTCAGGACACTTCAGAGCATATTCCCTCCGAAGTCTTACAAAGAGCAAATTGATGTTTGCAAAGGTGCATTTTTATCTTAATTATAACATACAAATTATAAGACAACAGATCAAAGGATTATCAAAAATTAATGAAGAGACTTAATAATCACACAGGTCAGGAAGTAGAATGTTACTAGCACCCCCAAAAACCCTGCTTGTGCCCAGATCCAGTCATTACCCCTCTTTCTGCCAAAGTGTGGCCACCATCCAACTTGGAACAACTTAGGTTAATTCTGCCCAGTTTTAAACTTTGTGTAAATGAATCACAGAGTGGGCCCTTTTGTGACTGGCTTCTTTTGCTTGACATTCTGGCATGCATGTTGTTGTAAGAAGTCATGGTTGGCTTGTTTTCATTGAATGAATATCCTATAATTTGTGCATCAGCTTTGGAGTTAATGAATATTTGAAGTGTTTACAGTTGTGATTATTGTAAACATTCTTGTGCATGAATTTTGGTGTCCATATGCACGTATTACTGGGGCATTGGGTAGTTGGGTTTTTTGTTGTTTTGAGACAGGTCTCACTATGTAGCCCAGTTGGTCTTGTACTCGTGATCCTCCTGCCATAGCCTCTCAAACACTGAGATTACAGGTGTGCCCCACCATGCCCAGCTCATACCACTGTTGAATGTATATTTAGGAGTAGAATCGCTGTGTCATGCAGCACTCCTATAATCCACTTTAGCAGAATTGCCCAGCTTTCCACAGCAGTTGTGCCAATGCGTACACCCACTAATGGTGCTTCCTATCCTGTCATCACTCAATATTATCAGTCTTTAATTTTAGCCATTGTGGTGCTGTGCAATGGTGTCTCACAATGATAGTTAGCATTTCTCTCTTAATAGTGAGGTTGTACATCTTTATGCATTTAATGACTATTCAAATATGTTTTATGAGTAGCCAATTCAACCATCTTGCCAACTTTTCTATGGTTTGTCTACTTAACATTGGTTTGTGGGTTTTCTTTTTAAGTTCTGGATTCCAGTCTCATGGAGGTTGTATATTGCCAATACCTTCTTCAACTCTGTGCCTCTCTTCATGGTGGCCTTTGGTGAACAGTTCTTGGTTTTAATATAGTCCCAATTATCTGTCCTTATGTCATCCTAGAGCATTATCAAAACTAAAATCTTGTAGTGCATATCCTGCAGGTTTTTCTCCTTTTTCAAGGTTCCTTTGTCTGGTTTATTGCAGTTTCATAAACTTTAGCTTCAGCTTGCTAACTGTTATTTAGAGCTCTATTAAATCTTTATAGATCAGTTTGGACAGAAGTAGAAATTTTGAGCCTTCCAGTACATGATCAAGGAATATTTCCTCATTTACTTAGGTCTTTAATTTTGCTCATCAATATTTGTACCATTTCATATAGAAGCGTTTCAGACTTTTTGTTAAATTATTCTTAGGTGTTGGGTTGTTTATGCTATTGTAAATGGCATCATTTGAAATCTTTGTTTTCTGTTCATTGCTAGCAGAGAGAGATGCTTAATGTTTTATGCTTAGTATAGACTTTCTGTCCCTGATAAACTCACGTATGAGTTGCTGTGGCCTGTTTGTGGGTTTTTGGGGTCACCTGTGCACACATCACCTCATGTGTGAGGGAATGACAGCATCATGTGTTCCCTTCCAGGCCTGTGCTTTTCTCCTCCCTTCCAGGTATTCTACACTGATTGTACTCTTGGATCTAATGAAATTCTTCCTCTTGCCTTCCAGATGAGGCTGAGGCCCACATTGACTACGAAGATAATTTCCCTGATGACAGATCTGTGTCATTCAGAGAGCTCATGGAAGATTCTCGGACAGAGACAGAAGAGGAGAAAGGTCAGGGAGATACCTCTGAGGAGACACCAAAACAAGACCGTCTGGTCTTCATTTCTGTGGGGAAAGAAAATATAGCCCAAGAAAAGGCCTTTGTGCCAGCCACAGGCTTGCCTGGTGCTGGGAGCATTGTCCCCACAGCCTTGCCAAGATCCCAACTGAACCAAAAGGACTCATTCTGGCTTCCTGTTGAGACTTTCCACAAGCCAGAGTTGAAAAAGGAGGTGGATGATGACACCAGAAAGCAGTTTCCTGCTGAAGACAACCACAGTGGAGTAAAACTGGTCCCAGGTGAGCCTGAAACCAGGCTGACCTATGGCAGCACTGATGGCCCCTCGGGGCCTTTAGAGGACAGGAATGAAAGCAAGGCAGGAGATCTAGCAGTGAGCAGCAGTGATGGGTCCTGGTTAGATGGCTACCCGGTAACAGATGGGGCTTGGAGGAAAGTAGCAGCAGAAAGGGAGGATGATGAGGACAAAGGGGATGGGTCAGTAAGCCTGGATGAAAATGTTCTCACAACCCCTGATCAGCCTATCGTCGTGGAAAGTAAGGAGCCCAGGAATACCATGCTCACACCAAGCAATGACATGACCCACAGTCTTGTTCTTCCATCTCAAATGCGAGATGAAGAGGCTTTAGCCAGGAATGTATCTGATACTGAGGGTCTCCGCAGTGGGGATGGCAATTTGACCAAGTACCAGTCAACAGTACTTTGGAGATTCACTATGGAGCAGTCTCCCATGGTCACTCTACCCTATGAACTTACCACCTCAACCCTGAAGACAACTGCTGTCCAGCAGATGCCTAATCACATTCCCTCAAGTAACATGGTGCCCACCCAGCTTCCAGTGGAAACTACTGCTTCAAAGGTCCAGGATAGCTTCCCATACCTGCTGTCTGAGGACTTCTTGGGACAGGAGGGTCCTGGGCCAGGTGCAAGTGAGCAGGAGCTTCTTCCAACTTTGGAGCCATGTGTGGGTGACCAGTGTCCCAGCTTCAGCAGAGGCCCTGTGATTGCCACCATTGTCACTGTCCTGTGCCTGCTACTGCTCTTGGCAGGTGTGGGGGCAGTGTGGGGATACCGCAGGTGCCAGCACAAGAGCTCTGTGTACAAGCTGAATGTAGGCCAGCGGCAGACCCGGCACTACCACCAGCAAATTGAGATGGAAAAAGTCTAGCCATCATCAGAATGAGCTCTCTCAAAGCCACTGGGAGCAAGATTAACTGTGACACATCACATAGATAAATCACAAGAGCACAGGTGGAGTAGGGCTCATCTTTTTTGACTCAGGTTTTTGTTCTATAGGTTGAAAAGTGTCTCTGGAGGCACCATGTGGGGCAGGAAGATTTAGAAAGCATTATCACATGTCAATTCCCCTCAGCCATCTTTCCTGGAATTGATGGCTCTAATCCTAGGCCGATGCTTGGCCTTAATTCCCACACAAAGTCAAAAATCACCTCTTATTTCACCAGATTATTCTGTTTTCATTTTTTTTCTCCCACCCCATGTCTCCTTATTCACAATACAGACCAGGTGCAGGGCCTGGGGTGACATGTATGTGGGATAAGTTTACCTTGCCTCCTCTTTCTGTACAGTCAGTGTAAGAGCACTGCAGTGAGCACCACGAGGCCTGTCTTTTCATTTTTAAGAAGGAAAGTCATTGACTCCGTGCCCTGAAATGTTTGCAATAATTTGAGAAACTAAGCATTGTAGGGCAAGTTGTTTAGGCCATATGTGTTTAGTTGTTGAGTGTGATATGGAAGTATAATTGCTTATTTACTTTTAATGTTGTGATGGTACTGAGGGCAAATGTGCCAAGAACCAGGACACAGTCAGAAACTTTAAAGTTTCTCCGTGTTGAAGAGAATTTAAGACTGAATTTAAGACTTATTTTAGGGAAGTAAGGAGTGAAGAGACATATATCCACCTCTGTTCCCTCCAGTCTGTGGGACAGCCCATCATTTTTCAAAAACAAGGTGAGTTTTGTACTAGTAAGGAACATTTCCTCTAGTTGTCCTTGACCAGTCTGTGCCTAGGAATGTCTTGGAATTTCTGCCAGGACTAATAACAAAACCCGATCTTAGTTTCCTTTCTCAGGATTAACTATTTTTCTGAAGTCTAGTAAAAGGGAATGGCCTGGGAGGAAACAAAAATACTTGAAGAAGGCCAAAGACTAGGATATCAAGTATAGATACCAGCTTGATGGAAAAATAGGAGGAATTAAGAGACATGGAATGACCTGGGCTGATCTGTTCTTCACTCGTAGCCATCTCATAGCACCTAGATCATCGGGTGGTGTCTCGGCAAGTACTGTTTAAGACAGTGATTCTCAAAGGATGGTCCACCACCCAATATCATCAGCAGCGCCTGGGGACATGTTGGAACTGCAGCTTCTCTAGTCCTACCCCAGAAAGAAATCCTGGGGGTGGAGCCAGCTCTGTGGTTTAACAAGCCCTACAGGCGATTCTGATGTGTACTCAAGTTTTATCTGCCACCTCTCTTCTGTGCAAGCTTTTGAAAACTAGTAAGACTAAGGAGCTACGAGAGTACAGTGTAATCAAAGACCTTCTCGCCATACTTGGGTAAAAGGAAGGCTTGCAGGTTCCAGCTAGAATACCACAGGAAGAACGCCTGTGCATCAGATGAAGTCTAAAAGCAGTGGGGAGGAAAGGCTTTCTGCATGTAGCCAAAGCAGAATACGACAGAATAAAAGCCAGACACTGTATATTTTTTAGTTAGATTCTAATCTATTGCAAGATAACTTTTCTATTTTTAACTATGTAAAATAACCTCTGTCTCAACATTGGGATTGTGTTAGTTACTATTTTTATGTAATAACTCAGAATTTACAACACATACATAGGTAATATTAATACCAATGTATTAATAAGTTTATTACAAATTATTAATACAGGTAAAGGTATTATTTTGTGAACTTGGACTGCAAAGTAAACCCAACACATCAATTTTTAAATTTTTATTGATTTGGTGTTATCTAAGTTAATGTTATAAAATCTAAAAATGTATGTCAAAAAGGAAAAATTAAAATATGTAAACTTAAATTGTATGTCATTGTACGTTTTAAGACTGGTAAGTGTTTAATGCCCAAGAAAACTGAGGGAGAAAGGGGTTTCGTTAACACAAAGCTTCTGATATATTTAAAATAAATAATTATTTCCCAAAACGGTTGCTGAATTTATTTCTGAGTTATCACGCCATGATTTAAAAAAAAAAAAGGATTTTTCTAGTAATCTTAAAAATAATGTCTTGGTGGCTGGTGGAGTGATTGAAGTGGTAGAGCACCCACCTAGCAAGCATGAAACCCTGTGTTCAGACCCCAGTGCTGCCAAAAAAAAAAGAAGTATTGATACTTGCTTTATTTAGTACCACCCTCTTAAGGCCTAACCTCAGTCCTTGCAGGACTTCAGGAAAGTCTATAGAGCCCTTGCTCCCCTACTACCTCCTCCTTGACCCAACTGCTGCTGCCAGCTGCTTGTTAAAAGTGCAGCCTGAGACCCTGCCCAGACCTGCTGAGGTGAATCTACATTGGGCAGGATGCCCAGGTGACACGTGCATGGTAAGGGTTGAGAAGCGGTTGGTGTAGGAGACTGGGACCAATTCCCCCCACCCCTTCTCCCAACTGACAGACCCTCAATGGAACAATTAAAGAGGGTGAAATGGAGGGGCTATTCACAATGGCATAGGCAGGGTTAAGACAGCCATCAAGGATTGGGGGAACTGGCAGGGAACCCAACGAGAGCTTCAGCAACAGGAAGAGCACGCCAAACCAGCTCTGCCCTCCAGGAGAGTGCAGCCAGGGTCCAGCAATGGCCTGGAAGAAGCAAGGGAGATAAAGAGCCTGACCTCCTCTTTCATGCTTCCCATTGGCAAGGAATAGTCAGAAGGCAAAGCAACGCAGGCAGTTTGAAGGTTGGAAAAGAGCCAAAAGGCCACATAGCGATGTCCAGCTTGGAGACCATCAGCACCAATGCCATCCACTTCATGTGCCCGTACACTCTGCAACCACCACTGCTCTGTGCCTGTCGCAACACTGTTGATGGCCCTTCCAGTCTCCTTCACTAGGCAGGAGGACCCTCTTCCAACTGCCCTGTCACTCATGAGCACCTGTCTGTACCCTTCATCAAGAAGTGAGGCACCTTCTGCCCTGCTAGACTGGTTGCCAGCCTCCTTGCCTCAAGGTGGGGCCCACTCTGTGATGTAATCCTTAAACTGGTCCAACTGAGAACACATCATTGCCAGCTCCTTCCTGCTTTCTGCACACCTCTTGAGAGCGCTCCATCACTTGCACAAGGCTTTGCTTCTGGGAATTGGGATGCAGGACAGTGATCAGTGCTCAAACTCTTATTTCCTACACCTCCACTCCCCCTCAGTCTAAATTTTTCCCCTGTATGCTCTGGAACTCTTGGGCTGACACCAACAACAGCCCCGTGTTCTCTGCCTGGTCTTCAAAGCACCCGTCTTTGAACGCTCTATAACATGAACTTGTTTTGCTCTGATTCCTCACTTTTTCCACCTGCCTCCTCTTTTCTGTCCCCTGGAATAGTTACTGTTGGCAGCCATGCCGGAAGATGCTTTGAGTCCATGTTTAAAACACATTCCAGATGTTTCTCCTTGTTGTATCCCAGTTCTCCTCTGCAGGTTGAGGGAGAAGCCTCGGGTGCCTTACCAGATCCTGGCCAGCTCGGAACTACAGGGACCACCTCTGCTTCGTGAGAGCCAGGAGGCTTTGGCACAAGGGCTCTGTGCCAAATACTTTGTTATATGAATGCCAGATATTTCATGGACTTGTGAAAACAGAGCTCATTTCAACATGTGTCCTGGAATGGCTGGGTGTGGCTAGGATACTCCCAACCAGTGGATAGAAAAGAAAACGGCAAGAAATAAGCCAAAGAAAACATTTAAAGTGGGTTTTGTAGTTTCTGTTCTCAGCTATTTTCCAGGTTCTAATTTCCTACAGAAATTAGACTGATCGTGCACACTGCCCTAACTCAAGTTGGAGGGATGAGTAGGAAAAGACATCAGCAACAACACTGATAGTTTAACCTCTGACTGCCACCGAAGTTAGAGAAAACTCTGGGATCTATTTTCTATCTATTGACCTCGATGCTTAATTCCTTTCTATTCTTGTTTGTTTATTTTGCTATATTGGGGCTTGAACTCAAGGTCTTGTGCTACTAGGCAGGCGCTCTACCACTTCAGGCACGCTCCCAGTCACTTTTTAGTGGTTTGGTGTTTTTTTTTTTTTTTTTGAGATAGGGTCTCACTATGTAGCCTAGGCTGGCCTCAAACTCATAATCCTGCTGCAGCAGCCCCGAGTGCTAGGATTACAGCTGTGCACCACCACACCCGGTGCCCATTGTTTTCCTTGTAAAATGAGGCACCGATATCGTACCTACTGCTCCAAGAAAATATTGAGCCAACTCAGCAAGCAACCAAAGTCAGATATTTATGGTGGACAACACTTAGGTGCCAGATATGGCTGCTGCTGCACCTGCCCTGGAGAGAAAAGCATTCTATCTACAACCTCAGTGCTCCCAGCTCTTACTTCTAGAATACAAGTGGGTCAGTCAAGGTGAAGTGGGGCTTTCATGGTGTCTTCTCTTGCGGGGACATGCCATAGGGATAAGCATGGAGACCAGTCTTGCTCCTGGTCACAAACACAGGAAGACCAACCCATAAACCCGTTGGCTGGGGTTCACTTAAGTTTCCTTCCTCCCCCTTCCTTGTACATAGTTTAAACTCTCCACACTAGGTCATTCAAGCCTGGAGTCCCCAGAAAAAAGAAGTAGCTGTTTGGGGGATGGCAGATGATCAAGAGTTCAGACAGCTGCGATGAAGGATTAGTTGTGGTTTCTTCCCAGAGGCTCACTACAAACTGTGTTGCAGTTCCATGTTCAAACGCTATTAAATGAGAATGTTTTCTCTGGCACCCATCCATCTTCTCCCCACAGTTTAAGTATTGAGATTTAAAAAAAAAAAAACTAAAGTAGCTTTAGTTTACAGCTCACATTTGAAACTTAAAAATACTATTTCCATAAATGTTGGCAGAACCTGGACACTGTTTATTCCGCCAGCAGTCATAAAAAACCCTTTCCCACTGACAATCTAACAAATCATTTTCTGTTCGCCACTGAGTTGGGTTCAATAAAATTTTTGTGTTCTTAAAATGAACTCCTGAGAGCACACATTTCCTTCCTAACGTGGCCTCTGTGGTCAACGTGCCCACTGGTTCTCCTTCTGGACTTCAGAGGTAAGCAGAGCAGGTTAATGGCAGCCATTAGAACATCTCAAACTCAGAAAGCTACTCGTGTTCAATCTGTTGGTCTGTGTTACCTCTCAGTCTGTTAGTCACTTAAATACACATGTACATACAAACCTCTCTCAGCCCCTTACTTCTCCAGAAGTCAAGGCCAAACATTAGTTAGCAAGTGGGGATGGGGTGGCATTTGACCCTTCACAGTGGGTGCCTTCCTCCTGGATTGCCCAAGTGGCCATGGTGGTGGTCTCCATGTGATCAGCCTGAGGAAACCCAGCAGGGTTTTGTGGGCTCCATGCAGTGGGGCAGAGGACAAGTGGGCCATCTCAGAGTGCCCTGGAAACTCCCACAGAGCTTGCAAACATGCTTGTTTTTTTTCAAGAGACAGGCCAAACCAATGTGGAGCCTATGAAGTCTCAATACCCAGAAACCTTCTAGACTCTTCCAAGAAACACAGGGAGGATTGCTTGAGGTGGTTGAGTGCAGCCTCATACTGGAATTTCATGGTACAGGTTTGGAAGAACCAGTCCACTTTTTTTTTTTTTTTAAGGTTGATTGGTTTCCTTTGAAATAAAAATATTTAGTGACTCAGCTCACAGCCTAAATCAAAGCAAAGTGCTGTCAGTGTTGACCAGGCTGTCATCAGGGTCTTTTCCTCAGGGGACATTGCTAGGGTGGGAATGGAGAAGCCTTTCAAGCCCCAGTCAAAGGGGCACAGCTTCAGGGGCCCAACTCAACCCCAACCACAAAAAGCTCTACCAGGCTCTGAGGACAAGGACCAGAGGATAGCTCTGTCGAGCCCAGGCGGTGAGGATGGCGACTTCACTTCCTCAGGCAGTTGGGAAGGATGCCTTGAGGCAAGACAAGGATGATCAGGCAGCCTGAACACACTAGGACATCCTGGAGCAGCACTGGCTTGTAGGGGTCCCACCACTGTATAGTACTGCCCATGTCCCCATTAACTTCAAAAGGAAGGAGAGGAGTAGAGCGTGGGGCAAGGAAAAAAATAATCCAGTGTTTCCCTGGGCAAGGGCAGGTTCCTCCACCAGGAAGTCACATAAAATCTGATTTGTTACTGGACAGGAGGATACCTGAATACAAGGATGCTGAGGCCTCAAGTGCATTCATCAATAACACTCACGCCTTTGCCCAAATAGTCCCCTGGGGGGTATAGGCACTGTTGCCATGGGCTAATTTGGCTAAAGGCAGAAGTGGCAGGTTGCTGTGTTGACTTGTTTGGAGAATCTGCCATGGGGATTCATGCAGGTGAAAGAGGATATGCTCTCCAGGGGATAAGGGGACAAAGGAAGCAAAAGTGCGAGAAGGGAAACAGGAGGCACCTGAGTTCCCAGAGGTTGGAAGAATGTGTTGGGGGAGAAAAGGAAGCTTGGAAAAGCCCAGATGTGTGGGCTTTCTACTCCCCAGTCACTCACCATGGAATAAAGACCCAAAGCAACCAAAACACAACCACCTTTCTTCTTTTCCAGGCAGGCCACTGTGGGAAAGTCTTATGTCCCAAATTCTGTGCCTGCCTCTGCCTGGGAGGGTCTCTACTAGACAAGTGGTTTATTTGGGGAGGGGGGACAGTGATAAGTTTGAATAAAGCAAGCTCAGCTTCCAGAACTCCATACTCTTCATGGTTTTCCATGACCCCAAAGGTGGCTCTCATCTCTGGCTGATTTCTGATTTCCCAGAGAGCCCTGGTCTCTGTTCTTGGCTCCTTTTGGTAGCTTCTTGATATATGTATGCCTTTAACGTGGCCCCATGCACCCTAGTAACCTCCCAGTCCCTCACAACGAACCCAGGACCTCACTGAGCATGCTGGCGACTGATGACCCACAACTCCTTTTCTAGAGAATTACCCACAACGAAAGCCACTGGCCTTCAAAGGTTGCCTCAGCCTCAGGGGACTTCCCATAGCCAATAACTGCCAGAGAGAGGCAGTCACAGTGTCTCCTGAGAGTGCTCCATAATAAACCACATACACCCAATCCCTATCTCAGGCCCCGCTCTGGCCCTGCCCTCAGCATGGTCTCCATTTCTACTTGTGGCCTGAGCCTTCCATCCCAACCTCAGACTGTGGGCTCTGTGCCAAATCTCTGTCCCATCCTTGCTTGGAGCCAGATCCAAGCCTGAAATCCTACAGTAGTTTCCACCCCTTCCCACTCTCAGGTTTTCCACAATATGGCAGCTGGAGTGACCCTTGGCAAATTTACTCAACAGTCCTCTGCTCAAACTTTCCAATGTCTCCCACCTGATTCAGTATAAAACAAAGGCCTTACAGGGACTGTCAAGGCCTAGCCATCTGTCCTTAGCTCCCACCCACATACCTATCTAGCCTTCTCTCCTTCTATCCTTCCCTTGCCTGTGCCTCTGCTTGGCCTCCCTGTGGTTTCCTGATGGTAAAACCAAGTTCCCTCCAGGCACTACATGCCCCGCTCTTCCCTCAGTCTAAATGCTTTACTCTTGAGACCCACTGCCCTAAGGCCTCTGCTCTAATGTCACCTCCTCAGGGAGTTACCCTGACCTTGCTGCAGCCTTAACCTCAGTCTACTCCCCTGTTCCATTTTACTTTTCTCCACAGTAATCATCAATATCTGATAGCCCGTATGTATTTATCCCTGTGAATTTATTGTCTTTCTCTTCCCTAAGAAAAGGATTTTTTTTCCCTGTTATTCTGTGCAGTATCTCTAGTGTCCAAGGCAATGCCTAGCATACAGCAGGTACTGAACACACATTCACTGAAAGAAATTCCCCTGGCTTTCTTCCATTTTCAACTTTGAGACATAACTGAGCATAGTCCTCAAATGAGATTGGCCAATGCTTGCAAGATTTTGAAGATTCAAAGGTGTTGGGCAAAAGCCATATTTTTGTATTCTACACATCTACCCAACCTGTGTTTAAATGGTACAAGAAGTGATACAGTTCAGACCCAGTGAAGACCATTATGAAGCTTGAAGAAGTTGACTCTTTGTCTTCAGCCATCTTTCCTGGCTTAGAGAAAGAAGACTACAATCTATACAAGCAGAAAGACCCAAGGAGGTTTTCATAATTACCAACTTTTAGGAGGATTTTTCTTATTTAAAAAATAATACTGATTTTCTGGGCGGGGGAACACAAACCATGAAAGACTGTTCTTCCAACCAAAAAGGTAAGAAAGACACATTTAACCGTGGAGAGAAAGATGTGAACAAGGGAAGACAGATGGGAAGATAGCTATGAACATGAGAAAGATGGACGTGAAGACAGGAAGGTGGGTGTGAACATGGGAAAGACAGGGGTGAAGACAGGAAGATGGGCGTCACCATAGGAAGACAGATGAGAAGATGGGAAGATGGGCGTGAACACAGGGAAGGCAGGCTCGCCCCGGTTACGTGTAGTGAGAGACATGGGGGCTTCCCTTTCACTTCATAAAGGGAAGGCCTTGAGGTATCCACAGCCTGGGCTACTGGGAAAAGGAAGACGAAGAATCTGTTTCCTGAACACTGAGGGAAGTCTCGGGTTCCTGTGAACTAGGCGGTCTCCTCTAGTTCCAAGAGGTCATCCACATATTCCACCACCTCTCCCTGTAAGAGACAACAGAACACCCTCTGTTACTGACTTTAACAGTGCTGGGGGGCAGACAGTTTCCATGAATCCACTGCTGACTGTTTTCTTGGACCTAAGCAGGTTTTCTCCACCTACTTGGGACCTAAGGATCTGATTTCTGGGAGGTGACCTCAGCTTCTACTGCATAAGAACTCAATTCAAATGCAATGCCACTCTCACAGATGGCCTGTGAAAAGTGGACAGTCCAGCTGCCCCCTCTGGTGCTTCTGCTCTGGGCATTTGTCTCTCATTATCTCTCCCTGTCTCTTTTCTGCCTCGACCATTACACGACACTTCCCAAACCACCATAAGCCAACCTTATTGGCACCTGGTCAGCATTCCTTCCTTTGGGGACTGGCCCCCACAGCATCCCTGCGACCCTATCAGGCTCTGCTTCACAGAGGCCTAACCCAAGACACAGGTGTGTGCATCACTTCCTACTTTACAGAGCAATTCCACACACAGTAGAGTTTCATTCTCACAACCGTGGGAAAGCACAATTATCACTCCCATTTGTGAGGAACTCAGGATCAGTTCTTCATGCCAGTGATGGGCCCTTTCATGCAATTCTGCAGAGAAACTTCCTGATGATGAAGACATCAGAAGGGCTTCACCTGAAACTGGGGCGGTGGGAAGAGCAGATAGAGGCTTGGGGCCTTTGGGTCTGACCTAGCAGCTCTCAGAACTTGTCTTCCAAGCTCCTTATGTACAATGTGGAGGGTCAGACTAGGACGGGCTCATAGATCTCCTCCAGCTCCAAAGGGGCAAGTCCTCAGCATTTTGAGAAAGTATTTTTCAGTTTGCTTCAGACACATCTCTCTAAATAATACTCCTAATGACGACTTCTCTGTGATCGGCTGCCCCTCCACAAAATGACTCTTCTACAACCAGCTGAGACTTGTCAAAAAAGAATTTGGCTAAAAGACTTAATCAGGAATTTCAACGCATTCCAGAGAATGATGAAATGATTTCAGCAAGGGCATTAAAAAAAAAAAACAGTCTGATAGGAAAATTGGGATGTGAGTTTCCAAATATTTTCAGAGTGCTGAGCAACTAAAAATTCACTGTGTTTTGATAATGTTAAAAACTGATGGCTGGGGCTTGGGGTGTGGCTCAAGTGGTTGATCACCCTGAGTTCAAACCACAGTAAATGCAAGATAAAAACAAAGCCTGGATGAATACTGTGGATTCCTGGAGCATCGTTCCATATACACATCATGTCACTTCAGCCTGGACTTCCTAGAAAGCTGTGCTTTTCCATGCCAGGGGTCTGGCTTTCATTAAAACAGCCAACTGTCTTTCTCAAGGTCCCCTTCTGTTTCTTATTTCAGGGACAACTCAGCTATCAAGTGACTTGAACAAAGATGTGAGTAATATTTTCTCAGCCAGACATGTGCTCAGCATGAAAACTTACCTCATCATCGTCCATTATATTCTCCTTAGCAAAGTCATACAGCTCTTTCTGGAGTGTGGTCACGTTGAAGAACTGAACTGCTTCCTGCTCAGAAAGACAGAATGGCTTAAAAGACCAACCTGCTAACATTAGAGTTGGCAGGAGGGGGAGCGGGATATGGGATTTCTCTCTGGGGTAATAAACATGCTTGAAATTAAACAGTGGGAATGATTGAATAACTCTGTTATTAACAGAATTATTAACAACCACTGAATTGTGCATATTAAGAACGTGAATTCTATGATACATAAATTATATCTCAATCAAAAACAGGGGGGAATTAAAAATGGCAGCTAGAGGTAGGAAGCAGAAAGCGACCCTCCTATAGTGAAATCTTGGAGAGACGCTGGAGACACACTTTGCAGGCATAATCACCGAGAAAAGGCATAACTTTGACCCCTCCACACCTCCAGCCAGTGCAGAGAATCTCCACTTCACGTTAAATGGAGAAACGAGGAGGGCCCCCGGGGCCGCCAGTGGCCGGCGCCCATACGGCTTGGGAAGACGCGGACCAGGTGAGCTTCACGGTACCGCGGTACCCCCACAGACAAGCCTGGGCCAGAGCAGCATAGCCCCCTGGACAGACTGACCTCCACCCAGAAAAAAAGAGAAACTGAGTAATAAGCAATAAGAACAATTAAGACACGCTGGAAAGAGGGTGGGGCGCCCTGAGCGCTGAAGATTGGGGGAAGGGAATCCTTCCCGGGACTGTAAATAAACAAGCCCGGCAGGCCGGAGAGCCTCTGGGGGAAGCGGGGCGCGCACCCAGCAACCAGGAGCCGGGAAGCTTGTGAGAGTGGCGGAGGGAGGAAAACCACAGGAGAGGAAGGAAGACCCACTTCCCATGTGAACTGTAAACAAACATGGCAGCCGGCAGGAGCAGCAGCACCGCCCAGTAAGCAGGAGCAGGAAAGCTGCTGAAAGTGGCAGTGGGAGGAAAACTTCAGAGGAGGGGGGAAGACCCACCTCCCACATGAACTGTAAATAAACACGCAGGCCTGACAACGTGGGGCAGTGTCACCTTTCCCAGTGCTTGGAAAGGGGAAAGCCTGTAGCAGAGGCTCCCGCACAGGAGAACTCTGAGCAAACAAAGCCTGTGGGACCAGGTGAGTGCTAGCTCACCCCAGAGATCTGCATAAATAACGCCGCCAGCTACAGGCGGAGAGCAGCAGGCAGGCAAGCCACAGTTGCAGATACCACTCCCAGAACTGTCTCCAGATGCTTTTTTTTCTTTTTCTCCCTACCTTTGATGAGAGAACAACCGAATTACACCTGCAAGCCGAAAAACTTACTGAAACTGTATTGCATTTGAACTGGGGACACTTGGTGGGGCTTTTTTTTTTTCTTGTGTGTGTGTGTGTGTGTGTCTGTGAGTGTAGTTTTGTTCTACTTTATGCATCCCCTTTGATGAGACAACTACAGAACAACATCTGAGGTACCAACTCCAGGACTGGAGATTGAGACGGACATCCAAATTATTAAGACTGAAATTGCATTGCATATAAACTTGGAAGTTTTTTGGTTTTTTTTTTTTTTAATTTTCTATTTCCATTTTATTTTAATTCATTTTTATAAATAGAGATATTACTTTCATATACTTATTTTTTATTTTTTTTATCTTTGATTTTCAATCCTCTCTCTGTCTCTCTATTGTCTGTTCAGCTACTGTCGATTAGTACACTAACACCCTGTTTATACCTTTGAAACTCTTTGTCTGATACCTTGTTCTGCTTTCCCTCTTGTCTGTATATTGTTTTCCCCTTTTCTTTAACTTCTTGCTTTCCCTCAGCTCACTCTTCCATTCTCAATATTACCATTTATTATTACAAGCTAGAAAATACTTAATTACACACAGTACAGGACAAGTAACAACACCAAGACAATGACAGGGAGACAGAAAAAAACAGGGAAACCAGTTTCCCCACAGCAAAAAATTAGTACAGGAACCAGAGGGAATGAGAAACAGAAACTCAGATCAGACTCCAACAAAATGAATAAACTATGCCAAGACCCAATGAAGCCACAAGAATAATTTAAAAGAAAGACATACTACAAGTACTCAATGAGAATTTTATAGAGATGATACTGATAGGGTCAACCAAAATGTACAGGAGACACCAAGAAATTCCAAGACAATAAAAATAGAGAATATTGAAAAGCAAAAGAAGAATAAAGGAAACCATAGAAGCACTGTATAAACACCAAAGTGAAAGAGAACACAATGAATAAATGGATAATGAACTCAGGACAAAAAGACAACAATAAAGAAGAAAACTGCCAGGATATGAAAACCTCAAGAAAAAAGAACTGAAAACAGAACTGCAAAACAAAACGGAAGGCCAATCCAGCAGAATAGCAAAAACAGAAGACAGAATCTCAGAACTTGAAGATGAAATGGTAATTAAAGGAAAAACGAAGAACTATTAATTAAACAACTCAAGACCTGTGAAAAGAAAATGCAAGAACTCACCGACTCCATCAAAGACCAAACTTGAGAATCATGGGCATCGAAGAAGGAGAAGAGGTGCAAGCGAAGGGAATGCGTAATATATTCAACAAAATACTAATGGAAAATTTCCCAAATCTAGAGAAAGATATTCCCATACAAATGCAAGAGGCCCCAGGACACCAAACAGACCAGATCAAAATAGAACTACTTCCACGACATATCATCATTACAACAAGTTCAGAAACTAGGAAAGAATATTGAAGGCTGTAAGAGAGAAAAAACAAGTAACATACAAAGGTAAACCATCAAAATCACAGCAGACTTCTCAACAGAAACATTAAAAGCAAGAAGAGCGTGGGGTTAGATCTTCCGGCACTGAATGAAAATAACTTCAACCCAGGATACTCTACCCCACAAACGCTATCATTCAAAATAGATGGAGCAATAAAAGTCTCCATGATAAGCAGAAACTAAAACAATATGTGAACAAAGCCACCACAAAGATTCCAAGGATCTGCACACAGAAAGTGACACCAACTTAACCATGAAAAGGGCAGGCAGACCAAACCACAGGATAAGAAAAAGCAAGCAGTAGAGAGTAAACATCAAGTTAGTACACAACAATCAAACCTTCAAAACAACTAGACAACTAAATGGCAAGGAATCACCACATACCTATCAGTACTAACCTTAATGTTAATGGACTTAATTCCTCAGGTTTTTGACAAATGATTAAAAAAAGAGATCCAAATTTGTTGCTTTACAGGAGACTCATCTCATGACAGAAATAGCTTAGATGACGAAGAAATTTACCACACCAATGGCCCCAAAACAGGCAGGAGTAGCAATACTTATTCTGACAAAGTAGACTTCAAACCTACATTGATCAAACGAGAATAAAGAAAGGACATTCCATACTAAAGGGGAAACAGACCAAAAGGAAATAATAATCATCAACCTATGCCCCAATGTCAACGCACCCAATTTCATCAAACATACTGAAAGACTAAAAGCATATATAACGCAACACAGTGGTTGTGGGAGACTTTACACTCCATTATCATCAATAGATAGGTCATCCAAACAAAAAAATCAATAAAGAAATCCAAGATCTAAAATATGCAATAGATCAAGTGGACCTATAGATGTCTACAGAACATTTCAATCCAACTTCTACACAATATACATTCTTCTCAAGCAGCCCATGGAACCTTCCAAAATAGATCAATCCTAGGGCAACAAGCAAGCCTCAGCAATATAAGAAAATAGAAAGACAACTGTGCAACTACTGACCACAATGCAGTAAAAGTAGAACTCAACAACAAAAGTAAAGACAAAAAACATGCAACAGCTGGAAACTAAATAACTCATTACTTAATGAGAATGGATCATTGATGAATAAAAGAGGAAATTAAAGTTCCTGGAAGTCAATGAAAATGAAAACACAACCTACCGGAACCTATGGGACACAGCTAAAGGCAGTCTTGAGAGGAAAGTTTTATAGCATGAGTGCATATATAAAAAGATGAAAGATCCCAAATCAATGACCTAATGATACATCTCAAACTCCTAGAAAACAAGACAAGCAAATCCAAAAACAAATATAGGAGAGAAATAAAAAATAAAGCTGAAATCAACAAATAGAAACCAAAAAAACCATACAAGAATTAATGAAACAAAAGTTGGTTCTTTGAAAAAATAAACAAGATCGATAGACCCTGGCAAACCTGACTAAATGAGGAGAGAAAAACCCAAATAGTAGAATTAGGAATGAAAAAAAGGGGAGATAACAACAAACACCATGGAAGTCCAGGAAATCATCAGAGACTATTTGAGAACCTATATTCAAATAAATTTGAAAATCTAAAGAAATGGACAGATTTCTAGATACATATGATCATCCAAAACTGAACCAAGAGAAATTAATCACTGAATAGATCTATAACACAAAATGAAATTGAAGCAGCAATCAAGATCTCCCCAAAAAAAAGTCAGGACCCTGATGGATTCTCTGCTGAATCTATCAAGACCTTTAAAGAAGAACTGATACCAACCCCTTAACTGTTCCATGAAATAGAAAGGGAAGGAAAACTGCAAACACATTTTATGAAGCCAATTACATATCCCAAACCAGGCAAAGACACCTCCAAAAAGGAGAACTATAGGCCAATCCCTAAGAGAGACTATGCAAAAATTCTCAACCAAAATAATGGCAAATCGAATTAGCAACACATCAAAAAAGATTACACGCACGACCAGGTAGAGGCTTCATCAGGGATGCAGGTGTGGTTTCAAACATATGAAAATCAATAAACAATAAACCACATTAAAGAAGCAAAAGACAAAAACCACTTGATCATATCAATAGATGCAGAAAAGCTTTGATAAGATCCACATCATTTTCAATGATAAAACTCTAAGACAAACTAGAATAGAGAAATCCAACAATTATAAAGCTGTATAAGTGACAAACCCTACAGCCAGCATTTATACTTAACGGAGAAATAAAAAATCCCATCTAAAATCAGGAACCAGACAAGGACCC